CCCTGGAGGCAGAAACCAGCCTGCCCACAACTGCGACAGAGTGAGGCTCAGTCTCGGAACTCATCGGCCACCAACCCATCATCGTAGCTCTTACCAGCTTTCAGCTGATCCTCCTTCAGGCTGTTGAATCTTCCCTCGTGAGCGGCCCACCTTCCATGCGTGGTAGTTGCGCACCGGGCGGGCGGGTTGGCCGTGCGGTCCCTGCCTGAGTTGCTGCCCGACAACAGACGCAGTGCTGAACCCCCTCCCTCCCTCTCCCGTCCTTCTCTCTCCGCACGGCGTGGCAAACCTCAGCTATGTAATAACCCAGTACACCTGAAGAAACGGGCCGAGCTCTCAAAGCTCCCAACATGGCGGTGCTTCCCTCGTCCGCGGCACGAGCGGGTGGGCGCGCGGTGAGTGGTTCGGCACCACCAGCACAGTGGTAGATTCGCAATGCCCACTCATGGGGCGGAGATGACGGGCAGCACGCACGAAGCATGTCGACTTTGGTTGAGCCCGCGGCCGGGTCGGCGGGGCCGGACAGCCAGCTGCCGCTGTTGCCTGTTGGTTTGTCAACAACGGCAAAGAGATGCGGTTCGTTCCGTGAGAGGGGGCGTCCGAGGGTGCGGGGAGTGTTGGTATACGAGGTATAGGATGGATGCGCTGAGGGTCCGGGTCCGGCGTCGTTACGAAGGGTGGTAAGCTGGTGCTTGGCCAACGGGCCTTGATCGACGGAGGCGGCTGTGATTCACTGCTTCATATGGTTTGTCCCATCTGCAGTCGTGTAGGCGGACTTGTTTTCCTGCCTTTCTCTCCTTTAATTCTTCGTCATCAGCAGTCGCAGCCGTCTCAGCCGCCGCCGTGTCGTCGACAGAGTCCGCTTGCTTGCTCGTCTAGACTCGGATTCTGCGGGCATGGCTCTGGAAACAACCCCGCTGCGAAGTGAAGAGGGAGAGCGCGACGATGGCCTCGACCAAAGCGAAGCGTACGCTGCCAGTTTCGATCCGGACGGCGGCTCGGACGATCCCATGCAGTGGCCCGAGGCGTATAAATGGGCCATGGTGGTGCTCTTGGCCCTCATGTCGTTTACGGTGTAAGTCTGCCTCTCCGCAAATCGTCCGTCTTGGACACACTCTTTGCTGTCCAGTTGGCCTGGCCGTCGTCGCTGACCCGAGTGTATCGACATCCAGGACCTTCACCTGCATCTCCGTCGTGCCGGTGGCCAGCCGCATCGTCAAGGACCTCGACGGCGACAGCGACGAAACCCCCTCCCAGTCCGCCGGAGTCCTCCTCGTGACGATATGGGAACTCGGCGAGGCCGCCGGCCCGCTGCTCATCGCGCCCCTCTCCGAGGCCCTCGGCCGCGCGCCCCTCCTACACGGCACCAACGCGCTCTTCATCCTCGCCACGCTGCTGGCCGCCCTCTCGCGCAGCACCGGCGCGCTCGTCGCCGCGCGGGCCCTCACCGGAGCGGCCGTCTCGTCCAACGTGCTGTATCCGCCCATCGTGGGCGACGTGTTCCCGCCAGAGCAGCGCGGCCGCGCCCTCAGCGTCTTCATGTTCGCGACGCTGCTGGGCGGCACCTTGGGGCCGGCGTTTGGCGGCGCCGCGGCGGAGGGCATGCCGATGCTGGGCGGTTGGCGCGCTGTGCTGTGGGCGAGTCTCGCGCTGGCGACGCTATGCGAGGGGCTGGCGCTGGTGTTCTTTCGCGAGACGTACGCGGTTGCGATTCTGCGGCGGAGGGCGGCGGCACGCAGACTTGGGGGTCGCGATAAGGCGCTATTGCCGGGTCCGTCGTCTGTAGGGGAGACGAGCCTTGGAACGAAGGAGGAGGGCTCGGCAGCTGGGTTCCACGTCTCGTCCATCACGCGGCCGTTTGCCGTGCTGTTTGGGTCTGGCGTGCTGGCGTCGCTGGCCGTCTTCGGCTCCGTCATCTTCTCGTACTTTTACGTCGTGTCCGTGACGCTGCCGACAATCCTGGACGAAATATACGGACTATCCCCCGCAGCTATAGGCTCATCCTTTCTGGCTAATGGTGAGTCTATATTCCGTCCCAACCTTCAGTCCTCGGGTCTGAGCTCACCGACTCTCCATTGCAGGCATCGGATCTCTCATCGGCATCGCCATCTGCAACCTATCTCTCGACAGGATTTACGTGAAGCTCAAGACGAAGAACGACGGGGTCGGGCTCCCCGAGTACCGGCTCCCACTCGCCATAGTCGGGGCATTCATCCTCCCGCCGGGCGTCGCGCTCTACGGCTCGTGCGCCGAGTACAGGCTACCCCTCTGGCTGCTGTACGCGTCGGTGGTCTGGGTCCGCATGGCCCTCATACTGGTCTTTCTGCCCCTGATGGCGTACGTCGTGGATGCGTACGGCATCTACTCGGCGTCGGCCATGACGGGCGTCATCGTGGTGCGGTGCCTGGCGGGTGCATTCCTGCCCGTGGTGACGGTTCTGGTCATCCAGGATCTGGGGTATGGGTGGGGGTTCGCGACGCTCAGTGCGTTGTGTCTTGTCCTGGGCTTCATCCCGGTGGTGATAATGCGGTACGGGTCGAGGTGTAGGCAGGCGGTTGCATACCCCTAGGTCGACGTTCAAGTGAGGTGCTGGTTCAGGGATGGAATAGAGTAAGATATGTGGAGCGGCAGGGCGGAATCAGGGCATAGAATAGAGGAGGTGCTAATGTGCGACTTTGATTTAGTCTATATTATCTTGCAAAGGGTCATATTTCCCGCATAATTCGTACGAAGTAATTGCTCCATGCATATGTTGTACCTAGTAGTATGTAACAGCTTACAAAGGCTCGATCGTAGCTTTATAGTCGAGACACAGGCGCCGTTGCACATGCTGCGGGATAAGCTCGGGCGCTAACAATTTAGCAACCCAAACTCTCTTTTTTTGCCGAGTGCCCTTGGCCGCCCGCCCAAGCGTCTCACCTCATCACCACTACTCACCACCACCACCACCACCGCAAATCCTCCCGCGGCACGCAGCGAACCACTTCCCCTCCTCCTCCTCTTCTCTCCGGGCGATTCACGTCGGCAAGCATGGCTTCGGCGACGCTCAAGAGCTCCACGCCGCCGCCGGCCGCGGCGCCCAACAAGGCCTTTGTCTCACAATGGTCGTCGCGCTATCGCGGGGTACGTCGACGATGATGACTTCCTCCCCGCCCTCTCTCACCTCTACCCCTCCTCAACTCTCTGTGAATGAAACATGCCGCTGGCGTGGGATGATGGAATAAAAGAACCGCCTGGCTGCTGACACGGACTCGGAAACAGGCCACCGTCGAGGACCTCGACCCCCCCGCCGCCCTCTCCCTCAACCCCTCCGACGCCATTTCCCTCGCCCTCCTCTCCGCCTTTGAGCGCGACTACACGCACCTCACCGTCGTCGACTCGCAGACGCGCGCCCTCCTCGGCTACATCTCCATCCCGCACCTGCAGGCGCTCCTCGACGCCGGCCGCGTCAAGCCCGACGACCCCCTCCGCGCCGCCATGACGCGCTTCCAGCGCCGCGGCCGCGCCTACCGCGTCATCACCATGGACACGCCCCTCGAGGACCTCGAGGACTTCTTCCGCGGCGGCGTCTCCGGCGGCGAGTGGAAGCAGGAGTTTGCCGTCATCACCGACGAGAATAGGCGCTTCGTGCTCGGCGTCGCAACGGTGCAGGACCTGGACGAGTTTGTCAAGAGGAGACCTGCCTGAATGGGACCGGTCGCGGTGTTCGAAGCAGCCAAAGAGAAGGAAGGTAGCCAAGAAAAAAGAGGAGGCTGATGGGCTTTGAACAGCAGCACATGAGTAACGAATGCCGGACACACAAGTCCCAGACCACCCCACTACGCCGGCGGCTGGGCGGACCATTACGCTGTCCTTATGTACATACTTGGCAGTGACGGTTCCTGCTCCGCTATGGTGGGAATAGGAGAGTTGGTCCCACGGAAGCTCAGGGACAAGTTCAGACAAGCCGAGCGACAAAGACGAGCTTTGTGGAGCGAGGGGGAGCGCTGGCGAAGGTCGAACGAGACATCCGGCGCATGACGTGTACCGAGGCAGGGCGGTGCTTGACGCCAACATCGGCGCCTTGATATAGTGCAGTACAGAGCCCATCAAGCAAGAGAATAGAAAAACATGTGGTTCAACAGTTGTTCCGTACTACCATGTATCGCTACGCACGACCCCGTCCGGATGCGCGCGCGCCGCCTTGGCATGGTGCAGTACAGAACCCATCAAGCAAGAGGATAGAAGGGACGTGTGGTTCAACAATTGTTCTACATCTATCATGTATCGCCGTGCGAGCCCGTCCGGGTGCGCCCACGTCGCTTTCAAGTGGCACCGCCGCGTATGCTCCCACCAGCTTCTGCCTTCTCCACACGTCATCCCACGCCGCCGTTGAGACAACTCCCCAACCCGCTCGCCTCCCCAACAACAACATCAGGGCCTCATGCGTCAGGCACCTATCCCTCGTAGTTGTAGACGAAGCGGAACTCGGCGCGCTGGTCGCCCTTGGCGATGACGATGTTGCGGCAGTACCTCCGCTCGCCGTTGATGTCCTGGAAGCCCCAGATCTGGGTGGCGGTCCAGCCGTTGTCCTGGCTGACGACGTGGCTGCGGATGAGGGTCTTGCCATCGCCCTCGGACAGCCAGCCCTTCTTGAGGTACTCGTCGGTGATGTCATCCACGGAAACCCAGCTGCTCTGGCCCTTGACATTGCCGAACAGCCAGTCCGAGTGGTCGCGCGGCAGGTCGTCGAGGCAGCGGGCCTCCTTGGTGGAGCTCAGGCCCGAGGCCGACTGCTCGATGTCGATGTGGGTGAAGGTGCCGTCGGCCGTCGAGGGCGCCTTGGGGGGCGCCTCGTACTGGTTGACGTCGATGGTGATGGTCGCCAGGCCGACGCCCTTGCGCACCAGGTAGCCGATGCCCTGGATCGACAGGCCCGGCTCAGCCGAGTCGGAGAGCTCCTTGTTCTGCGCGCGCACGTGTCAGCGTGGGGAGGAACTTGACTAGGGAGTGTGCGTGGCCATTCGTTTTCGCCTCAGAGGTAGCGCGCGCCGGGGCGGGGAGGGGACAGGCGAGCGCAAGTTGTCGCAGTAGCCACAGAGCAAGTGTTCATGAGCACAACGTACCAGGACCCATTTGCCGCTGAGGTTCTTGGTGGTCTTGTCCGCGGGGGCAGCCATTGTTGCAGAGTTGCGTGTGTATGTGCGTGAGTGTGTATGTTCAAAAAAAAGAAGGAGCTTGCTAAAAGACACCGGGCCTGGAGAAAGCAAGGAAGGGTATCGTGCAAGGTCACCTAGTGAGACGGGGAGGACGATGTTGTTCCAGAAGGAGAAGGCGCACAGGAAAAAGGGCGGGCGTGCGCGCGCCTTGGGGGTTTATCAATGGAGTCCGGATCCGAAGGTGCCTGCCTCGTCGAGCATGTGCATGTGCCTGGCGTGACGACAGCGTTCGGGCGGCGTGGCGGGCGGGCAGGACG